TGCTGATTTTTTATTATAGAGGTGATTGCATATAAACAGGAAAAAAATATAAGATAAGATGTATTCAGCGTTTAACAGTAGTTAACCCTGAGGGATGGACTAAATTGGAAGAGGGGAGGAGTGTGGGGATAGAAAAGGAAGACATGGAGTGATTTTGTTGTATTCTATATAATTTTCTAGTGGAATTTTGGTACTTTTTAATTTTTTAATTTTCCAAATAAAATAGATAAAAGGAGATATTATAAATATTTATTGTATGAATAAAATGCATAAACATATGTTAGATGTGTGTTTTAAATTAAATTAGTATTACATCACTGTTAAAAGCTTTTAAAAGTGAAAGTCGCAGCCTTGGTAGCATAGCGGGTTACATTTGTCCTGCTAACTGCAAGGACACCACGTCGAGTTCGAACCTCCCACCTGTGCCATTAGAGAAAGGGGTGAGCCTTTCTGTTCCTATAAAAGTGAAAGTTTCAAATGACAGTACCCCCTTTTCAAAACTCTATGAAGTGGGAGAGGGGAAACTGAATTAGGGGAAGTCTTTTGGCAATGTAAGAATTCAAAAAGATAAACCTGACTCTGAACATTTGGGTTTTCTAGCAAACAATTAAAGATTTTACCCATAGCACAAACCTCTTTAGATTTTGTAGTGATACGCAAGGCCCTTAAAAAAAAATTGTCTATTTTGTCCGACAGAAATGACTTCAGATGTACCATCACTGGGACCATCCATTGCCTCTGGAAACTCTGGGTCTGGAATTCAAGGTGGAGGAACCATTGTCCAGAGGGCTATTAAGCGGCGACCAGGGTGAGCGTGGGTATTAAGATCACCTCTTGTAAACCAATATCATGCTGCTTAGCTATTCCTTACCCTACTCTTACACCGTTGCTTATTCTACTGTTGTCATATAGCTGTGCCTTCTTTTTGGATGTGAATTTTTTAAATAAATGAAGTTCTAAGTTTCTCTTAAGTTAAAAACAAAACAAAGGTAAAGGACCATGGCAAAGCCTGAGATTATATATTTGCTGAGGAAACTACTTGCAGCCTTTATTAAACTTTGTGTTTGCATTCTCAACTCTTTTGGTAGGCTACTTTTTTGAATTTGTGGAAGACTGAGTGCTAAAGGTTTTCTTCTCTCCATAATTGCTAAGTTGTTTGCTTTTGAATGTGGAGTCCAATTAGTTCCCAAAGTATCAAATACCTACTTAGCCTGAGTAAAAGCATTGTGGAATTGCCAGGAGGATACTGTATTAGTTTACTAGGGTTGTTGTAGCAAAGTACCACAACTGCGAGGCATAGAACAATAGAAATTTATTTCATGGTTCTGGGAGCTACCTGCCCCAAATTAGAGCGACATCTGTGTTGATTCCTTCTGAAGGCTCTGCAGGAGTTTGGGGATGGCTGGCAATCCTTGGTGTTCCTTGATTTATAGATGCACCATTCTAATGTCTGCATTTCTCTTTAGGTAGTGTTCTCCCTATTGGTCTTGCTGTCTTTTTCATTTCCTTTTCTTATAGGTATTAATTTGAATTAGAGCCCACACTACTACAGTATGACCTCATGTTAACTATTTAAATCTGCAAAGACACTATTCCCAAATAAGGTCATATTCACAAGTACTAGGGATTTGGACTGAAACACATCTTTTGCGGGGAGGACGTAAATCAATCTATAAAAAAGATCAGATATAGTGCATGTCTCTAAATTTCATGTGTTCAGGCAGAATAATCCTTATACACATAAATATAGTCATGTGTCCCATAATACTTGTTTGGGCAAAGTCCAACTACATGTATATTTGTGGTCCCATAGGATTAAAATAGAGTTTGGAAATCTTGATTGGAGAACAAGATTTAGGGGCTGTAACCAAACATAGGGAACATAATAGCTTTCCACACATAGGTATCTCATATCTGTAGTGTATAAAGCAGTGGTGCTGCCTGGCATATAATAGTGTAGTATATATATAAAACCTGTAATATGTATGTCTTGATGACCATAACAAATGCTAATCTTACTGGCTTATGTATATACTGTACTTGCTGTATAACAGTGTTTATATTTTAACTTGTAGGCAGCCACATCCAATTTTGTGTATCGTGCATTATCTTGTGTGTTAAAGTGATATTTCCCTGTTTACTATTTTTTTTTGCATACTAACCTGAAATGTGCATCCTGGCTCCCAAACAAGACAATACCAATGCTAGGATTTCAGTAGCAAGAGGTAAAGGAGAAGTATGGATTTAGAAGTGAAACAAAGGTTATTAAACAGCTTGAAGGGAGAAAGTCCATGAATGTTCTTGCTTGACATTTAGGCAGATTGCACTCAACAATCTTGACAGTCCTCAAAAGTAAAGATAATCTTATCCAAGCTGTTTTCAAGGATTAGCTTCACCAAAACCTATAGGGCTAGCAAAATATGAAGAAGCCTTATATCAGAAATGTAGAAATTACTAATAATGTAGGTTGAGGGTCTACAAAGCCCAAAAGTGAATTCCTTTGAGCACATTGACAATCACTGCTAAGGAATTAATCTTGAGATGCTTAGAGAAAAAGCAGGACCAGATTATAAAATAGTGTTTGCATAACATCTGAATTACATAGTGCCTATTGCACAGAATGTATCGTATATGGTAAGCAACATGAGACTGTAGAATACAAGATAGGAGCATGCCAACTTTTAAGAAGAGGAACAAATACAGTGCTGTGTATTTGAGTGTATTGAAATATCATTTGATTATTAAAGATTAGGAACTATTTTAGAAAGGAGGTGGGTTGTAGAAATGCCTAGAAGAATAGGTAATATCTTACCTACCTACTTACTTGTTTTAAAATGATGAGTTGTTGTTTTAGCCCATCTTAATCCCCCCATTCCCCCAATAGTATTGTCAAAAATGATCCTAGGTTAAGATGGTAACGTGAGCAATGTATTAAGGCTACAAAACTAACACAACTAAGACCTTTACACACTTTAATTCATTTACTGAAGCATAGGGTTAAAAAAGTACAACTTACCCTAGGATCCAAAGTTCATAAGTGACAGTTCTAGGACATGAACCTTGAGATTTAGTTTTAGAATCTACTCTCCCAAGCACTGTTGTGATTATTGCTATTATAATAGTTAACAATTAGAAACAGTAAATATAAAATGAAGGAATTGGTTGGATAAGTTATAGTATGTATTTAAATGGAATATTGTATAGATATTAGAAGGGATACCATGGAAAATATTTATCATTGCAGAGAAATGTTTACCATGTTGCGGGAAATTGCAATATATATAATCTATTTCTGTCAGAAAAAGAATTTATAGTGTCTGCATAGCAAAAAAACCTCAAATAATACTCTTCAGATTTTTGACTGATGGTACTATTACTGACTTATTTGCATTATTTTCTGAAAAGAATATGTATTGGTAGACAGAAAAGTCATTAAAAGTAGTAATAAAAGAAAGATTGGAGGATGAAGATAGCAGGAATAATAAAATGGTAATAATTCTGCCCAAAGTCAATTTTTTGTCCCATTTTTTATATCATTGCTTCAGGGAATTCTCTATATAGATTTTTGAAATAGCGGTATAAAGGTAAGTCACTAAGTATTGTTACAGAAATAAACCTTTATTTAAAAAAAATCTTAACAAATAGTCCTTGAATTAACTACAAGCTTTTTTCCCTTGTGTTTTGTTTTGTTTTTTGACATAGGTTGGTTGTTGTTTTGTTGTTGTATATTGTTGCTTCGTTTTGCTGTGTCTTGTTTTTGTGCATGTTATATTATCTCCGCATATCTGTTTAAATAAGATAGGCTGGATGAACAAAATGGAGGAGAAAACAACGTGACCGACATTTGCGGGGGACATGAGAGAGGTTGAGGTGGGGGGAAAGGTAGTAGTGTTAACAAACCCGGGGACAAGGGAA